GATCTCAACCCCCGCAAGCACAATAGACTACACGACCTTCGGCAAGCCTCAAAGACACGCATAGTTTATTTCACTCAACAAAAAACACGATAAAATGGTTATTGATTATCGTGTTTACAGGGACCCGGCCCACCACACCCGCGATATATCTGTTTACATGTAAACCACTCGACTTCACATGATTCGAAGCGTTTCGAGGCGCTTGTTCCGTGAGTGCTTGAGCGGCTGTGTAGCAGAGCAGCCCGGCCTCATAAACAAAGGTCAAGCGGCCAGATTCACGAAGCATTTACTCAAGCACTTACGAACCTGTCCATCTTTTCTCAATCTTTGGTGGCTTTGTTTACAATTATTAAACAGTTAATGAGCTCCGAAGCACCAGGAGGCTGTTTATAACAATAACAACAGTTGATTGGCAAGTTTTCATGCTTGTAAACTGTTTAATAAATGTAACCAAAGCCGTCAAAGCTTGAGGAAAGATGAACACTTTCGTAAGTACTTGCGTAACTGCTTCGTGAATCTGATTCAAGGTCCATTCCATCCACCCGCCAAACCACCAGCTGTTTATGAATGAAAAACGGTTTACACACAACTCACAACTGATGACGTTCGAACACTTCCGGAACAAGTGCTTCACTGACGACTTGTGTTCGAATCACAACGCTGTAAATGCTTCACCCACGTACTACAAATACAAATAATCGCCAACAGAACCTAAACACCTAACCTAACCTAACCTATATATGCACAATATGGTAATATATAACAATATTATTATATATTTGAGAAAAAATCCACTTTTGAATGATCGGCATGTTAAAATTTATGAATGCGTCGGTGGGGTCGACCGCTGGATGGAATGGACTTGGTCTGAGGTCATAGGTAAACACTTGGACTGGTTTCGGGAGGAACATGTAGATTTATTGTGATTTCAGTTGGAATCCGGTTGGTTGGCTTTCATAAGTCCAGATGGTCCAGTGGTAGAGTATGCGGCTTGTCAATGCCTTGGTCTTGGGTTCGAGCCCACCTCACAGCCCTGGTGGAGTTTCAATGTTAGACCCAATGTTAGAAAGATTACTCCAAGATGAGACGCCCCTCTCCCACAGCTGGTGGTCCAAGATGAGACGCCCCACTCCCACAGCTGGTGACCCAAGATGAGACGCCCCACTCCCACAGCTGGTGACCCAAGATGAGACGCCCCACTCCCACAGCTGGTGACCCAAGATGAGACGCCCCACTCCCACAGCTGGTGACCCAAGATGAGACGCCCCACTCCCACAGCTGGTGACCCAAGATGAGACGCCCCACTCCCACAGCTGGTGACCCAAGATGAGACGCCCCACTCCCACAGCTGGTGGCCCAAGATGAGACGCCCCGCTCCCCACAGCTGGTGGCCCAAGATGAGACGCCCCACTCCCACAGCTGGTGGCCCAAGATGAGACGCCCCGCTCCCACAGCTGGTGGCCCAAGATGAGACGCCCCACTCCCACAGCTGGTGACCCAAGATGAGACGCCCCACTCCCACAGCTGGTGGCCCAAGATGAGACGCCCCTCTCCCACAGCTGGTGACCCAAGATGAGACGCCCCACTCCCACAGCTGGTGACCCAAGATGAGACGCCCCACTCCCACAGCTGGTGGCCCAAGATGAGACGCCCCACTCCCACAGCTGGTGGCCCAAGATGAGACGCCCCACTCCCACAGCTGGTGACCCAAGATGAGACGCCCCACTCCCACAGCTGGTGGCCCAAGATGAGACGCCCCGCTCCCACAGCTGGTGGCCCAAGATGAGACGCCCCACTCCCACAGCTGGTGACCCAAGATGAGACGCCCCGCTCCCACAGCTGGTGGCCCAAGATGAGACGCCCCACTCCCACAGCTGGTGGCCCAAGATGAGACGCCCCACTCCCACAGCTGGTGGCCCAAGATGAGACGCCCCACTCCCACAGCTGGTGGCCCAAGATGAGACGCCCCACTCCCACAGCTGGTGGCCCAAGATGAGACGCCCCACTCCCACAGCTGGTGGCCCAAGATGAGACGCCCCACTCCCACACCTGGGATTGTTCTTAGAGTAGTTGCTATTAGGGGGGGGATACAGGTGTGTAGGTGGTTCCCCCCTTTCCCCCCACATTGTGGGAGGAGCCAAACACCTCCTACCTCCCTCCCAAAGCTCCTAGGTAGGTGCTTCTACTTCACCTCCCTATTAAATACCTCCATAGGCTACTGTGTTTCCAAAAAGTTGCAAGATATCTTTATCTTTTAAAACATTTATCTCTTATTTCATACGTCAAATGACAGGTCTATAATTTAATAATTGGTTTTAATAATTCTCTTAGCAATAATAAATTCTCCGATGCGTAAAATATTATTAATAATAATAAAACAATTAATGGATATTGTTGATCAACGGTGCCTGGTCCGGTACGACGTGTTTTCCAGGCGGGGCTCGTCGACTCCGCTGCCGGCGGGGTGTGCACGAGTCAGTGGGGAACCTCTAAGCGTGAGGTGAGGTGCACGACCCTGCGTGTGCACCCTTGTTGACACGCTGCCTACATGTGCACGGCCCTGTGAGTGCACCCTTGTTGACACTCACCCCTTAAGTGCACTAGTTCGATCCCAAAGTGCAACAGTGCTTCCTAGAGTGCACAAGTGCTCCCTAAAGTGAACTAGTGTCATCCCTAAAGTGCACAAGTGCTCCCAAAGTGCACATGGTCTCCCCCCTCTATGCATAGTGATGTGCAACCATTGAAAACCTGCACATGTGACATCTCTTGAAATATTGCAACACATACACACACACCTGACCTACACATGTGTCTTTAAATTTTGCAACACACACACACACCTGACCTACACATGTGTCATTAAATACTGCAACACACACCCACACACACACCTGACCAACACATATGTCATTGCAACACACACCTGTCAAAACAGTGACCCCAGCAAACTCTCCAAAGCACCAGGCCGCCGCCCCCCCCCACCTGTGGGGCCTTAGTTCCAACGGGAGCTTGCAACGCGCCTTTGCAACCATGTCCAGAGTGCCGCTGGCGCCGTTGCTGGTGCCGCTGTTGTTGCTCCTGTTAACGGAAGGAACATCGCCAACGGAAGGGTGGTCCAGTGTCCGGGAGAGCGTTAGTGTGGCCTCGTGTCGGGTCCTCTGTTTACACATGGTGAGTACTGGCTCCTGTTTGGCCCTGTTGGGGGGGTGGTGGCACCTTTGTTTGGCCCTTGGGGGGGGGTGGCACCTTTGTTTGGCCCTTGGGGGGGTGGCACCTTTGTTTGGCCCTTGGGGGGGTGGCACCTTTGTTTGTCCCTTGGTGGGGTGGTGGCACCGCTATGGGGCCCTTGGTGGGGGTGGTGGCCCCTTTGTTTGGCCCTTGGGGGAGGGTGGGTGGCACCTTTGTTTGGCCCTTGAGGGGGGTGGCACCTTTGTTTGGCCCTTGGTGGGGTGGCACCTTTGTTTGGCCCTTGGTGGGGTGGTGGCACCTTTGTTTGGCCCTGTGGGGGGTGGCACCGCTATGGGGCCCTTGGTGGGGTGGTGGCACCTTTGTTTGGCCCTTGGGGGGTGTGGCACCTTTGTTTGGCCCTTGTGAACACTTCCACAAAGGCTCTGGGGGCCACGCCCACTTGACCCCTGGGGGCCACGCCCACTTGACCCCTGGGGGTCACGCCCACTTGACCCCTGGGGCCCACGCCCACTTGACCCCTGGGGGCCACGCCCACTTGACCCCTGGGGGCCACGCCCACTTGACCCCTGGGGGTCACGCCCTCCCTATACATGACCCTTGGGGAGTGGGGGGGATCATCTCCCCCCCCCCCCCAGCTGACCTTGACCCTGAGGGTGGTATGGGTACAACACGAAGCCCACTGCGTCCTTGTTTATCAAGCACATGAGGCCTAGGCTAGCCTTCTAGGAGCCGGTCGGCCGAGCGGACAGCACGGGTTCGATCCCAGGCGCCGGCGAGAAACAATGGGCAGAGTTTCTTTCCTATGCCCCCCTGTTACCTAGCAGTAAAATAGGTACCTGGGTGTTAGTCAGCTGTCACGGGCTGCTTCCTGGGGGTGTGGAGGCCTGGTCGAGGACCGGGCCGCGGGGACACTAAAGCCCCGAAATCATCTCAAGAAGAACCTCAAGATAGTACAGTTTCAATTTCAATATTGCTACTGTAACTATGTCATTCACTTAGCCTTGTTACCAGCAGTGTTCTGAATATCATACCCCGCAATGGTCGAAGCTGTTGGGCACATGTGATAACTTGGTCCAACAGGCTGTTTGTTCCTTGGAGCAGCCAGCCTGTAGGCCCTCATTTCCACTAAGTTTGCTTATTGTGCTTCTGGCATCTCTTCGCTTCACTGGTTCTATTCTGCATTTTTCTCTCTAATCTCTAATCTTCTAATCTAATATCTTCTGTCTAATATGGTTCTATTTCACTTTTCAAATTTGGGACCTGACCTCCCAGTAGCTTTCATGTGGTTATCTTGAGGTTATCTTGAGATGATTTCGGGGCTTTAGTGTCCCCGCGGCCCGGTCCTCGACCAAGCCTCCACACCCCCAGGAAGCAGCCCGTGACAGCTGACTAACTCCCAGGTACCTATTTACTGCTAGGTAACAGGGGGCATTCAGGGTGAAAGAAACTTTGCCCATTTGTTTCTGCCTAGTGCGGGAATCGAACCCGCGCCACAGAATTACGAGTCCTGCGCGCTATCCACCAGGCTACCAGGCCCCGTATGTGTGTGTGTGTGTGTGTTTATATATACTTATTATTTATATTTTTTGAGTAATTCTTAATACAATTATCAATTAGATTGTGTTAGACAATTGTTATTAGGGAACAAGTATTGTTGCTAATAATTGTATTATCTCAATTGTTCTGTGTTTATCGTTACTCAATGTTTATTGTTTGTATCGTAAAATTTGGATGTTTTTAGTTCACATTGTGTAGCCTACTATTATTATTATTGTATATAATGTATTGTTTTTGTTTGCATCTATGTTGTTTAGTTTTGTTTGTGAGGGGAGGGGGGGAGGGGGGTAAAGATGGTGGAGAGGTACAGGTGAAAGAAAAGTTGTAAAAAATGTGGAATATGGCTTGTGTTATGATAGGTGAGCTGTCCGCCTTGCTGACACGATGTGTTTGTGTGTGTGTGTGTGTGTGTGTGTGTGGTGTGTTTGTGTGTGTGTGTGGTGTGTGTGTGGTTGTGTGTGTTGTGGTGTGTGTGTGTGTGTGTGTATGTGTGTGTGTGTGGTGTGTGTGTGTGTGTGTGGTGTGTGTGTGTGTGTGTGTGTGTGTGTGTGTGTGTGTGTGTGTGTGTGTGTGTGTGTGTGTTGTGTGTGTGTGGTGTGTGTGTGTGGTGTGTGTGTATGGTGTGTGTGTGTGTGTGTGTGTGTGTGGTGTGTGTGTGTGTGTGTGTGTGTGTGTGTGTGTGTGTGTGTGTGTGTGTTTGGTGTTAGCAGGTCTTAGTTAAGCTAAGCCTGCTTTTTGTCAGGGTTTGTGAGTTTAGTGTTTTGTGCTGCGTATTTCAATATACATGGGCGGTCTATAGATTAATGCTGTATTCCCCTAGTTGTGCTTGCCTGGGGGGTTGAGCTTTGGCTCTTGGGTCCTACTTCGTGTATCACTTTGAATGGAAGCCCTAGTCAAGGCAAGACTTGAGACTATCGGGAACAAATTGTATTGTAGCCGTTTTGTTGACCCATTGTCAGGTTGTAGTCACATTGTGAAATGAACTTTGGAGAGTTAATATTTCAACTTCTTCTCAAGTGACGATTAAAACATAAGAATAATAGAGAGGATTTGGGGCCGATTAATCTCACCCTGTGACATATTCAAGCATATTTGAACATTTGTTGTAATTGATATATTTTTTAATTGATATAATATACTTTGTCATATTTTGAGCACATTTTTCTGGTTCATGTAATGATTATTTTTGTTGTAATTGATATTATGATAAGTGTAATACTATATTATGCACTACTAATAATAGTAATATTCTTATAAGTGTATGTAATATACATAAACATGTCAAATCAGTATATGATTTGATTGTTAATTAAGTTCATATATATTTTATTTTTTGAAAAAATAAAATAATATGTATTATTAATACTTATTCTAGTTTAATAAGATAAAATATAATATTAATACTTATTATATTAATACTTGAAATAAGAATTTATTAATACTTATTTCATTTATCAGTTATATTAATTGTGTTATACAATTGTTATTAGGGAACAAGTATTGTGGCTTATAATTGTAATATGTTAATTGTTGCTGTGTGTTTATCGCTAATGATTGTTTATTGTATATATATTGTTAAATTTAATGTTTTTTATTTCAAATTGTGAAGCCTATTATTATTTTATTCCGACATGGAGTTGGTGGCTGGGTTACGAAGCCTCATCACACTGGCTTACTTTACCTTGAGGGGTTTTCGGGGCTTAGTGGCCCCGCGGCCCGGTCGTCGATCTGGTTTTCTGGTTACTGGACTGATCAACCGGGCTGTGGGACGCGGCTGCTCGCAGCCTGATGTGTGAATCACAGCCTGGTTGATCAGGTATCCTTTGGAGGCGCAAAGGATACTGGTATAATTTGGTGCAGCCTGTTCTCCTACAGATTGTACTCCTACAACCTGTCCTCCTACAACCTCTCCTCCTACAACCTGTTCTACAGACTGTCCTCCTACAGTCCTCCTACAACCTGTCCTACAGCCTGTCCTCCTACAACCTGTCCTCCTACAACCTGTCCTCCTACAGCCTGTCCTCCTACAGCCTGTCCTCCTACAAAGAACGTCGCTTTTCGCACGTATGCGTCACATAAGGCCAAAAATCGTCGTACTAGACAATGGAAGCGGCTGGCGAAAGTGACGAACTGTCCCGTTTTCTGTTGTGGGTCCTCTGGCAGGTCAGGAGAGACTACTTTAAATTGACCGTTTTCTGGACGTTGGCGAACCCTTAGGAGGACGGACTGATCCACCAGCGCCACTCATCCTGTGAGTGGACACACCGCCATAGTGACAGTATTGGGCAGCGTCACTCATCCTGTGAGTGAACACACCGCCATAGTGACAGTATTGGGCAGCGTCACTCATCCTGTGAGTGGACACACCGCCATAGTGACAGTATTGGGCAGCGTCACTCATCCTGTGAGTGGACACACCGCCATAGTGACAGTATTGGGCAGCGTCACTCATCCTGTGAGTGGACACACCGCCATAGTGACAGTATTGGGCAGCGCCACTCATCCTGTGAGTGGACACACCGCCATAGTGACAGTATTGGGCAGCGTCACTCATCCTGTGAGTGGACACACCGCCATAGTGACAGTATTGGGCAGCGCCTCTCATCCTGTGAGTGGACACACCGCCATAATGACAGTATTGGGCAGCGCCACACATCCTGTGAGTGGACACACACCGCCATAGTAACAGTATTGGGCAGCGCCACTCATCCTGTGAGTGGACACACCGCCATAGTGACAGTATTGGGCAGCGTCACTCATCCTGTGAGTGGACACACCGCCATAGTGACAGTATTGGGCAGCGCCACTCACCCTGTGAGTGGACACACCGCCATATTGACAGTATTGGGCAGCGTCACTCATCCTGTGAGTGGACACACCGCCATAGTGACAGTATTGGGCAGCGTCACTCATCCTGTGAGTGAACACACCGCCATAGTGACAGTATTGGGCAGCGCCACTCATCCTGTGAGTGGACACACCGCCATAGTGACAGTATTGGGCAGCGCCACTCATCCTGTGAGTGGACACACCGCCATAGTGACAGTATTGGGCAGCGCCACTCATCCTGTGAGTGGACACACCGCCATAGTGACAGTATTGGGCAGCGCCACTCATCCTGTGAGTGGACACACCGCCATAGCAGCATGTACAACACTCCCCAATAGGAAGAAAACCCGCTGGGTTGTTCATCCTGTCACTTGTACCCAGACACAGCTGGGACTTGCTTAACTGTCTCAAGTGAACAGCTCCTCAAACAAGAAGATTAACATCTGTCAACCCTTAAAAGCTTACGTTATCTTACGGGTGCAAAATGGGGACGCAGGTTCGAGCCTTTGTCATATTTCTTAATGATTATATATGTATATGTATATTATAATAATATTATTATAATATATATATATATATTATAATATATATCTATA